AGAAAACATCTCCTCATGAAGGCTAGTTTATAACATGAATCTTTACTCGAGAAAGATCTGTAACACTTAGTCTATGCAAGTAAATGTCTTATTCCTCTAGCAGTTCCTGCATCAGCTCAATAATAGGAGCTAAATTCTATTTCCTCCCAGTTTGCCCTCAAGTAAGGATGACATCATCCTTTTCTCCTACCAACCAATTGCAGAACAGCACATGGAGCTCCCTGGAGAACGTTATCCATAAGGAGCTGTATGCAGTCCTGCCAGACTGTGAGTATAGCGAAAAGAAAACTGACCCCTATGCAGGGTTTCTTTCACTTCAAGATGCTACTAAAATACCCCCAAAATCTAATTTATTTTCATTTCACACGCAGTCCAGAGCTATACGCTGTGAAAATGTTTGCAGTCAGAACAGCACACAGTCCCATCTGTATTACTTGCACATTTTACTCATCTTTTATTTAAGGCACACAGCCTAGTGTTTGGCGTGATAAGTGCACTTTCAAATAAATACTGTATTTTTCGGTTTATCATATGAACCACCTAAAAACAGCATTTCTTTCCTTTGCGGCCTTAAAAAATGTGAATATTCTAAATTACTCAAAGAAACCAACCTTTTTCACAAACATCATGTTTAAATGTTTTGAATATTTTTCACACTAATGAGTATACTGTATATTAACAGGTATGTATAATCCTACCGTTAGACAGTATGCAATTACAAGATCTAGAAATAATCGCGCCTCGTGATTACAAAAGGACATGCAATCCTTTTCACTCGTACCTTATATCACTCACTTCATTATAGCCTACACTTAGTTCTTCACATTCAAAGCATTTTGGAGAGACAGGCTGCTTTAACACCATATACAGTTAATAAAACACTAATGAAAAGGTGATGGGCTCATCACATTAAAGGTATTAAGGCCAAAGAAAGATGTCAGGTTTGAATAAAAACTACAATGAAAAATGAGATGGCTGTTTGCTTTTAAGATTAGTTTTCTCTTTGTAATTTGTTCACAAAATGCAGTTACTGGTGTGTCTTGCCTTCCATATATTTATCAAGACAGACGAGATAGAAAATGATGTCAGTCTTGTGAGTTTCTAAACAAAGCATGGGTATTGGCAACGCTATACACAGAAGGGACTGCTGGGGGAGGGGTTCACTAAAGGCTCCCCAAAGGGTGATCTTCCTAGCAGAGCTGAAGGCAGACTGACAGCAGCTAGACCAGTCCCCTCTGCACCTCCCCATGCTAAGCCTGAATGACAAAAAAAACACAGGCCAACACAAAGGATGCCACACTAGTCAGTTGTATCTTAATTACATACCATTAACGGGGTTAAAGATGACTGTTTACTATTCAACTCACTGCATTGTCATTTACATTTTTTGCTTTTAGTAATTTAAACCCAGTAAAGACCGCAAAGTGGCCGACAAAGCATAACAATCCAGCAACCTACTGTAACTTCAGCTAACGGTGGTTTTCGCTGTACTGTACTGTAAAATCTTGCCCCTTCATTTGGTTTCCACTACAAAACTTACAAAAACTTCAGCCTGTTGTTTTATTGTGTACCTCACTCCTGAAGGGCTGGGCTCTCATTATTTATCCAGCACAGGAATTCCTGCCTTTTAAAAAAAAAACAATCCCCACCCAGATCCTGGAGTCAAGGAAGGAGAGGGGAGAGCCCAGCCTATCCTTGAAGGTGACATATTGTTTCGCCCTCGGGGTCCAATTGTGGACCTGCTCTTTGTGCCACTGCCAGCTGCTCTCTAATGTATCATGAAAAGCAGCCTGATTACAGCACTGGAGAGATCCAAGGCACTAAATGGAATGAAAATATGATCTATCCCCAGAGGGGGGAGCAAGGTTGTCATCTCGACTCAGATGATGTAATCCCCTAAAATTAGCAACAGTAACAGCAGCTGCAGCAGCGGCAGCAGCACAGAAGGAACAATAACATTTAGTTTCAATTCCATTTCTACAACTTCTTGCTACAGCGTTACCAGATTTTGTTGAGGTTGCCGTTATTGTGCAAACAAAGAGGTGAAAAGTAAATGCTGTATAAGATGAATAAACTATACATTTTCAAGAGCTTCTTCATCTAAAAAAAATTCATGTTGTTACTCTGATACAGGCCTGATCATGATGTGTAACTTTTAACTTTTTGTTTTCCTTAGGAGAATAAATAATAAGATAACATTTCTTGCAGAGTTTGTACATAAGTCTCCATTTTTAATAGCAGGACAGTGTTCTCAGCAGAGATAACTCCCATTAAACTTCCATACTGTACATCAAGTCAGGTCATTTAAGTAAGACAGAGGTATGTCCTAAAAGAATTCAGGGGCATATTGGAAGTGTACCAATATGTGATGCTGATTAAGTAAATGTACAAAACATTTAACCACTCAGTCAAGTAGGGGATGTGAAGACAGTGTTTATCACAAATCATGGGCACAAAAAATACATGAAGAGACTGTTTAAGTATTGTAATATTTTAAGTCTTTTTAAGAGAATTTTCACATGATCCTCATTTTGTTCCAGTTTCTAACCACATTGCTCTTTCCAATGTCACAAAAATAAGTCAGGTTTTAGAAAGTCAAGTTGTATGATTACAGCTGATAGAAAATTAAGAGAGATCCATGCAATCCAGCCTCAAATGCTTTCCTAAAAACAAAAAACAGCCATACTACAAAGAGTAAAACAAAACTTCCCTATTAATAGTCAATGGTGGTATTAAATAAACCATGTACAAAATACAGGTTTAAGCATAAGACCAGTTTGCGGAGAAAATGATGTTAGTATTCAGATGTAAGCAAACATCCAGCTTGCATAAGAAATCAACTGCAAAGGAACAAGTAATAGCTTTATTCCATGCTGAAAAAAAGAAGAAAGAGAACACAACGTTTCGGCCATGGAGCCTTCTTCAGGTGTGAACCTGAAGAAGGCTCCACGCACACCTGAAGAAGGCTCCACGGCCGAAACGTTGTGTTCTCTTTCTTCTTTTTCAGCATGGAATAAACCTATTACTTGTTCCTTTGCAGCCTACGCATGCTGACGCAGCTACCCACCTGAACTAAGAAATCAACTGACATATCTACTTCACTTATAGCACAGGTAAAAAAAATTCTAAACTCAATGGCTACATGTTCTAGTACTACATAGTTTAGAAGTTAGCTAAACATTTATATGTAAACGACAGAGTTAAGTTTTTTTCGGGACCTTAATACCACAGCAGATTTCCTTAGATCAATAAAGAGCAGAATACATCATAAAGAACGTCACAAGCCTCTTATAGCCCTTATTCTGCTGTCTACCTCCCCTGGCTGTTCAGGGACCTGTAGTTCACTTTCATTCAGCTCAATAGCCTTCATACAGTTAACGCAAGTGAAACGCAAAGAACAAAAACAAAGTTAAAATAAATATAAAGTCGCCAAGCACATTTTTCTGACATCCAACGCCGATATGATAGAGGACACTGGTTAGTTCTGCTTAGGATACTGTGTGCTTCTTTATCATTATGATTGGCTAACGTTTTTTTTTCTGCACAAATGTTCAATATGGGTCACATCACTGATTACAGCAGAAAACGGAGCAATAAGCAGACGTCTTTCAGACATGACAGGAAATACAATACCACAGAGGAGACGGTTGACTAGCAACTCTTTCCGCACATCTTGTCTCGATCTGCCAGCACAAACGCAAGACCACAAACAGAAATTTAAAATAAACTTTCCTGTTGGGGCTTCTTCAAAGTTTAAAAATGACTGCAATTTCTTGACAGTGTTTTGCTTTGTTGTTTTCATACATGTAAACAAACGTTCATTTTTACAAATGCTCTCATTAGATGCAGTTTTTTGAAAATGTTTTGATGTTTTATAACATATTTATACAACAGAAGCAAACCCTGTCTGGATACAGAAGTATTTTCTTCCAACACAGGGAACTAGTGTTCAAACACAGAGTTCTCAATACATAATAATGGCAGGAAGTGGGAGAACTGATTGTGTTTTATCCTGCTGTAGCTTACTTGGCTAAGAGACAATATTACCATTGCCAACACTACAATGAATGGACTCCCCAAATAAATCACAATCAGGATATTTCAACTAACTTTCAACAGGTAGCTAATGAAAGGAGCTAAGAACTGGACAGATAGTGTACACAATGTTGTTAGGTAACACTGAATGTTTATGCCTTTAGATCACTCAATTAAAAAATATCAAAAAACAAATTGTGATAATTGAATGCATGAATGTTAAATAAATGCAGTCAAAGCATGCACAGTATTATTTCCACTTTGGATTGCTGGCACTCCTTTATTGATATTTCCAAAAATATGCATAATGGATTGGGAAAAGAGACTAAAACAAAGCTCTTCAAGAACCTCACAGGGCCTCTTCCCCTTCTTCCAATTACATCAGTTTACTAGCAAAACAGTGCAGATGAAAGGAACCAGAGTACACTAGTCCTATTTAAGTTTAAATTTGCTAATGAGTTTACCCTTTAGAGATTCCTGATAAATTACTAAGTACCTTGTGTTTTTTCCCCTAAAATGAGTCTCATATAATCCTATTAGCATCACATCTGGCAAACCTCACTTAAATACAGAGCCAATCTTAAATAGCAACAGGCATGGAGAAGTTAATACAAGCCACTGTAACTAACACCAGATTTCACTTTTTTATTAAAGGATAATGGGTTTTGCACACCTCCACTGCTCATAAATAATGCTTGAGAAGCAAACTATTTAGAGGACTGTAGGTTTGAGTTCACCTTCCCATACTGTATCAGTAAACACAATGACAGATAACATGATCCACTCAAATATGGTAAGCACTCTTCACTAAGAGTTGTCATATGTACGAGCGCTAAAATAGCAACACTATCGCTACAACCTGTCACTGCCTTGGATGTGATCTTTCTCAGCTGTAGTTTGAGGATGATGACTCAGAAAGGATTAAAAGCAATTTGTCAGACTTAGTCATAAAATTTTCCACGTACCTGGTTATCTTCATAATCCTGATGGCCAAAAGACAATAACATCCATGGTGGGGGGAAAAAAGGCACATTAAGAGACACATTACAAACAACTTGTGACAGATGCAATCCTTTCTCTAAACAAATCAGCATGCAGATCAAATGCCATTTTACCAAATAGAAATACAGTCAAAAGCACGTACAGTATTATTTCCACTTTAGATTGCTGGCACTCCTTTATTGATATTGCATTTCTTCTTAATTATTTGTCTTACATAGGAGTTACATGTAGATTTCACAATTCAAGCACACCTTACACACGTAGATGTTTTAAACTTTGGGGTATAGAGGAAATACCCCCATCACAATTTTACGCTGTTATTATGGCGTCCTCCCAACATGAGGTACTGACTCATGCTGCTACAGTAAAAACTAATTAACTGTCATTCTAAATGATGAAATATGTGCCTGCAAGATTACATGCAACTCTAACTGAAACAACTGATGCCATCAGCAGGAACTCCCCTATTTGAAATGTGAAACAATAAGGGACTTATATATACACATTTACAAAAGGTGCTTTTGGTGAGAAATCTGGCTTATATTATTCTGTACTGGCCATACAGAATTGTTAAGCGTCTTTGTAATTTCATTTTGAGAAGCAAGAAATTTAGACATTTCCCCGTCTATAAAACCACAACTAAAACAAGGTAGTCTACATCGTCTGTGACATGTGCATTGATAAACGAATTCTATGCATTTAAACTAAAAAAATACACATTATAATATACAGTATATTAGCATAGGCACTGGATACTATTTGGACTTTCTCCCCCTTACGTTACAAAGAATTATCCTTGCCATTCAAAAGACAACACTGTTGCAGTCAGTCATGACAGTGTATTTATAGTAAGAGCACTGAAAAATAATGTCTAAGTGCTGCGTTAAGTTTTGGGCTTCCCTTAAACATCTTGTACTAGGTTAAAAGATTGCTTAAAGAAAAATATGAGTACAGGAAAAAAAATTTTTTTTTAAATTGGCTAGTTCTGGCTGTTGTGTTGGACTAAGATAAAATGCTAGTAATCAAACTTTTAATATTAATAATCTAATATAACTTGCTGCTTTAACCTGAAGTACTTTCTTGAGGTTATTTCCTTTCTAGCACAAGGAGAAAAAATAACTGCAAACCACTTACTCTCCCACATAATATGCATCTGCTACTTAAGAACAACTCCAGAAGTTTTTTAGTAAGTTTTAGCCAGACTCAGACTTCTACACACTTTAATCAGACTCAGGGTAATAGAAGAAACAAATAAGACAAAGCAATTTGACATTTTATAAGTGTACTGCACTCAAAGTACCACGTGGATTTCAAACAATCGTTTCTGTATTACACTGCAGATTACTGAAGCTTGACATCGTCAAGTATACATATGCTCATTAAACGTTCCAGACATTTACAGGTTGATATTTCCAAACGCCAGAATATTATCTGAGTGACTGTTTCTTACCAGATGGTATCCTGATGGATCCTGGCTGTCTGAGACGGTTTCCTTTTCCCCGGTCTGATTAACTGTCTGATTTTGAAATCGCCGGCGGGACCGGCGATGTGGCGCATCACGCTGTAGAACGAGGTCCTCACTGTCGTTGGCGGCTTCCACCTGAAAGACATGTTCAGGATCCTGATTAAACATCCAGTTCTTCCATAGCACAGAAAGCCTGTGAAACCGAAGTAGACTCATGAGGAAGGCATCAAGAAAAGATAAAAAAAAAACAAAGATGACACGATGGTTTCTTTTCCACAAGGTTTTCAGTCACTTGTGAGCCTGCAGTATACACTGATCTCACTGCAAAGTTTTAACTTCCTGCAGGAAACCGTAAATACACAAATATCCTCTCAAACCAAAACTAGCCTGAATCCGGCAATACAAATGAGTTCCAAGAAGACACCAATCCCACACATATTTCACTGGGGTGTACAATTCTTTTGTAAACTGCTGTTTTAGAATACCTAATGTGAACTATTGAGTAAAAAAATAAAAGTTGTATATATGGATGTATCTTAAGTTACCAAAAACAAAAATTAGGTCCTGAACCTAATGAGGATTAGATTCAGATATTTTTAAGATCGTACAAGATGTTATTTTACAGACCTATACAATTTGAAGCAAAACAAATTTTGCTGAGGAAGGTCCCTGTGTGTATTATGATATAATTGTCTTCTGTGTTATAACTACAAGGCAATTTTAAGCAAATATTCGAATGACTACTTTAAAAAACAGTCTTCGAACAAGTACTGTAGGTCTTGGAACCTACTGTATATCTACTTCAAAATACAGTATTTAAATGACTTCAACTACAAACCTCCTTATGTCCACAATGTACAATGATAGGCGCTATATAACAAAGTTTATTATTATTATTAATGATAAGAAAGCAACTGTTCTTTTCGAAGGAGGAATGTCTCTTAAAGATGTTTAAAGCAAGCAATAATTAATAAAGAAAAACATTTATTCTTTTCTATATGAATTTGCTGCTGGACTTAAAGCAAGTTTCTCCACAGTAGTTTAATAACCATGGTTTAACCATGACACATACAACACTAACACTGTTACTACTGACAACTGCTTTGCTGAACATTTAAAAGTGTGCTTAAAATCACTCCACAGAAAAATAACTGTAAAAAAACTGTAAAAAAAATTAAAAGATCCAATTTATACAACATGAGCAGAATACAAAACGGGGAATACATATTTCAAAGTAATGAATGGAACAAAACAGAAAATATATCACAAAACATGCTAATGTCTTCATTTTTCTCAGTGTGACTTTTTTTCCCCAGAACTTTATACCAGATACTGTACATGAGACCTGTTTTGCCCCTAGTGACACATTGCAAAAATCATTCTTTTAAAACTCTCTACGCAGATTCAGTAGGCCTACATCCTCAAAATGTCTAGTTCAAACCCAAACAAGCTCAATGGTGAATAAAGTAATCAGAGACTTCAGAAGGTGTACTGTATACAGGAAAATTATTCTTCAGGTGTTCAATAGAGTGGACCGGGCACCTTCTGACAGGAGTGATCAAGGCCTGTTCTGCTCTTGTCTGAGCCTCTACTCTGTTCACACTCTTAGATCAATCAGACTAGAGAAATAGTCCACACATGCCTGGTTCATGTCTGGGCTACGTCATTAGAGGATTGTAAAGGGAATTCCCCTATCTGTAACAAACAGTGGCCAAGCACTGCTAGGTATATATGAGCTTGAAGCAGCCAAGCTCCTGCGATTTGCTGTGCGCTACCTACAAACTACGAACAGTAAAAGCTGCCTCAGTCAACCATTCAACCAAAATAATGCTGCACACACCATTAGACTTGCAATGTGAAACAAAGTGACTGACTACATTAGCACAGTTCCAAAGAAACAGCACATGTGACTTAAGCTCGTCTGTGCCGGTGTTGTAATTTTGAGCATCTGCCAATTCAAAATCGGATTGTATAAGAGCAACAAAAATAATTGACAATTCCAAATAAAATGTTATTTTAAGAAAGTGATCTCAGAGGATGTGTCTTTTTTTGTACCCATGGGGCACTGTAGCTCAGGACTGGTGAGATTTTAAAATACTGCCGTACCCAACTATCCTGTAACCCAGGGGTCAGAAACCTATGGCATGTGCCAAAAATGGGATTTTTAATGAAACATGCAATGACAGCAGCATGTGTAATACAAGTCTAATAAGCTACAAAGAAACTAAAAAACAATAGGTCTAAAGTCAAACATTTTGGACAAAATGGTGGTTGCTAAGAAAAAGTTAGATGTTCACTTATTTGAGCCTCTTTGGAGAGGTGAATATGGATTTGTCCAACAAAAAGACCATGCAGTTTTTTTAACCCTACACTGCATGATGAAAAACAGTTTGCAACTCTAATGTTTCTAGTGGCCATCACTACTCATATGAATTAACTCAACCTCTGGCTGCAGGATGCAGATCAAGCTGTCATGGGTCTTTTAGAAACATGGAAGACATTTCTTTAAAAACCTGCCATTTTTTCTCTGGACACCAACACCTCACCTTTCCGCTATTTCCAACATCTTAAAGAGCTTTCAAGACATTGCACAATCCGTGCTACTGAGCTTGGAGTGTACATGCAAGAACTGGCATCAGAATTTTCTGTCAGATTTCAGGATTTCAAAAGTTTTGGCCTAACGTTTCCTTATTCAATAAACCACACAGCTTTGATACCAGCAACTTGAATTTTCAGCAAGGATCACACTAAATGGCAAGATATGCATATTAATTTATTATATTTTAATATTTTTTATTTTACTTGTATTACTCAAAATATAAGTAGGGTAATTACTGAAAGGTAAAACAAATCCATAAAAACAAATATATGAGCTAACTCTGGGCATACATCCTCTGAAAGGTTGCTGAGCCTTGTTCTAACTGCTTCTTCCGGTCCAGGGTCGAGGGGGAGCTAGAGCCTATCCTGGCAAGCAATGGGCGCAAGGCAGGGTATATCCTGGACAGGACACCAACCCACCGCAGGGCAGACAAGCACAGACTCCCACCTAGCGCCAATGTTCCCAGAAGCCAGTTAACCTACCAGTATGTTTTTGGACCGTGGGAGGAAACCCATGCAAACGCAGGGAGAACATGCAAACTCCATGCAGATAGCACCCCAGATCTGGAATTCAACCCAGGGCCCCAGCACGGCAAAGCAGCAATGCTGAGCACTGTGCCACCATGTTGCCTAATGGTGAGTCGATTTTAATCATTTGCTCTTCTAAAATGATGCAAATATGGGTAAATACTATTTACCCATGTTAGCATCATGGGTAAATAGTATTTACCCATGAAATTTCCGTAGGGAAATTTCTTCAATTTCCCTACGGGATTAATAAAGTACTATCTATCAAAAAAAATACTAGGGTTGGGTACTGCCTCTGGAAAACACGCATGTACCGCAATACGTACCGCGGTATACCGCAAACTATTTTGCATGTTTATACATGAAGAATCTCTCAGTTTTGATTAGTAAAGCATATTGAGTTGTATACAAAATTATGAAAATTATGTTGTTTTGCTGGAACCAAAGAACTAGAAATAACACTGAACAGTTTAACAGAACAATTTAACAACATGCAGATTTTTGTCACAAGGTATTGGAGGTTGTAACAATTTCTTTCTTTACAATGAGTAAAGCTGACATTTACAACCTTATGAACTAACTTTCCACCTTTATCTTCAATGTTCCCTGGTGCATCTTGCAGTGGTGGGGGTCGGACAGCCTCATTGCACTCAATCGATAGATTAGGAAACATGAGCTTCTTGACAAACGAGCAGAGAATTATATCACCCAATTCAGCGGATGCTGCAAAGCAACTGTCCAACAGGCAGGTCATATAGCATGTTGGTGAATGCATCATTAAAATTATTACTGGCAAATGGAAATTCACGTAAAGGAAACTAAAATGAGAAATGGGAGTTTAAGAATTCAGATATTCATTTAGTTTAGCCTGCTTTATTTATACGATTTTGAAACATTCATGAAGACCAGGCAGGTGTCAGAACACATTTTTCAAAGCTTATTAAAGGTGTAAACATAAACACATTCTCTCTCACTCCCCTTAGAAATGCATTTACTCACACACATAAACACACATCTACAACTACTGCAGTATGTTACTTTGTACTGTGCCTTCACACAGTCTAAAGTTCAATTATCCTGACACAGGAACTTCTGCTGAGTGTTTGGGAATAGGATGGAAATGTTTCTGACCATGAAATGAAAAAAAAAAAAGACTTTGAAAATTTGTACAGTAATTGTGTAGGTGTAGCTTTGTGTAGGCTGGGTTTGAGCACACACTAAGTGCCGCAGGCTCCACTTTCCACACTGTCTCTGCCTCTCCAGCCGCTGGAGAAAACCTACATTACAGGAGATTTAAAAGGGAAGGAAGCATTTTCATACAAACAGGGGAGAATTAAAAATCTGGCACAAAAAAAAGTCTAATTATTTGTATTCAGACTCCAATCCCCTAGCAATCCCTACATAACACTCCCCACTCCAATAAAATAAAACAGATATCAACTGTTGCACAAAACTAGTATAATGCACTTCTGGCACAACGGAATATTAAAACATCTTACCCTTTGCATTAATGTTTAACTGGTACAAACAGCTGTTTGAGTGAACTGTATGACCACTGTAAAATGAATTATCTTTAGGAAAGCACAAGTCATCGTACAGCGTACAGCTTAGTTGTAGTACATGTTTTAAATTGTAAACCCTGTAAGTGTATTTTTCACATAGTTAAAAAACAAAAATAGCACAATTAGGGGAAAAAAGTGCTAGTGAGTTTTTGGAGAGTTCCCATGGCTGTACATGAGTAAATTCTCTACAGAGAGATGGTCTTTACCGCAGTTTAAGAAAGTTAGCTTAAAAAAACATATAGAAAAAAGGTTTTCCATGCAGAATTATACACAGTGCCAGGTGGCTCTGCAGTCCTAAACTGGGATCAGCACATTATGAGAATCTGACCACCGATCTGTTTGTTGAGTCTGTGGTTTTCTGTTCCGCCAGCTTTATATACAGACCCAAGCAAATAAGCCAAGGAGGGATAGAATTATACAGTGAGTCACAGCATGAATTCAAGCAAACTGAAAAAATTGCTTCTTGCTCCTGTCTTAATTTGAAATTACACTTTAATTCTTCTATGTTCACATAAATTAAGTTAAAAGGTGTAAGTTAAAAGGATAAGTGATGATTTATATTGATGAAACTGCTGATGTAAATGAGGTGCTACATGGCTCAACCTTTAGTCCTTCAGATCTACCATGAAGTGTTACATTTACATAAATGAAGGCAAAGGTTGAAAAAAACAGCCCATTATGCATAAGCAACTGTACCATTACAGTTAAGATGTACAACTGTTTTGAAATAACTGCACTGGATAAACAGAGCATACATTTTTGTGTATGGAATTTGTGATTCATGCAAAATGTGAACATCCCAGTAAAAAACGTAGAAAAAACATTTTTACTTTTTTTTCTCAGATTTTATTGTAGCTAATTAAGGTTTATACTACATTAAGTTCAGTTGACCCCTTTCTTATAATTAAGGGAGAAACTAAGCATTTGAAATTAATTGGTCAGTTGCTGTGCATTCTCATCTCTAAACACAACTTGAGGTCATCACATCGTGTAAAAACTCATGATTCATCATGCTGCCCCCTGAAATTGATCAGTAATGTCCTCCTTCCATTTTGAGCTTGGTCCTTTGTGCAACATTAGGTTATGAGGGAAAAAAAACTTGACAAACGCTGAAGGGATCTCACTCACCACAATCATTTCTGATGGCTCTAAAGTGATATATTCATAGCCTCTTCTTCCTCCAGATTGCTTTCCAAAACTGCAGAAAGAACATAACATTTTAAGCTTAAATGCAGCAAAGTTCAGGAATAATAAAAGATTGAATTGAGCCCACATGCTGAGCTTTAAGTAATACTGTGATTGGGATTATCCCCCTTTAAAGCAAAGCTTTAGAAGTCAATCAACACATCATGGAAAAGATGGCAAAGAAATCAACAGAAAGACGGTGAACCAGAATGGTTATATTTGAAAGCAGGAATGTCTTATTTGAGCAGTAATTTCCATAAAATGAGAACAAAAATTATTTCTAGACAGGCCCTACCACACAACGTTAGTTTTTTTTCTGAACAACAGGGCTGTTCCTACAACTTTGTAAAATGCATTAAAAGTCCAAATACATTCTGACAAGTCATAATAGCGGAGTCTCTTTCATTCGGTCCTGCTAAACTTCTTAAGCAATAGAACTGGCAGAGCCTATTTAAGTTGTGGTCATAGGTTTTAAACTAAGACCTATGCTGACACAAATCCCTCTAATTCTCACTTGTTCGAGAAGGTCATGTTTAGTTACAGTCACTGAGCAGTCAAGCAGGGCCTTATTGATCAGGAAGCAACAGCAGGATTTCCATGGCTTGATGAGAAGACAGAAAAATCAAGTCTGCAATGCACAAGATTATTTTATTTTCCTTGCTCTCAGAAAGATTGCTTTTTGTCATATTTCTGACATTTCACCTTCACAGTATGAAGTAATGTACATAATATTGCTTTAGGCTTACCAGATTCAATTTCCTTTTATGGCAACCTTTATAGCAGAAAGATTCATCCTCAAAAGCCTTACAGCCATCTGAGCCATGAAAAAGTGAGGCTCAAAGAACACTAGCTTTAGGCTATAAACGATCACAGCACCTTGTTCATCAGATCTCTTCATTTATTTATTTTTTAATCTCAGCCATGTCACTTCCCAACAAAAACCATCTGCAGACATTCCAAACAGATTGCACACGAAAATATATACTCCAATTAAAGTAAAAAATTGAGCTTCACCACTTCATCGAACAACTGTTCAGAGCAAGCACGTCCAATTATCTTAAGCACGAGTGTCTGCGAACAGCCCACTGTTGCAGAATCATCTTAGACATTGCACTTTAGACAAATATGTGCTTAGCTCGCATGGTATTTTTTTCTTTTCCTTGCATGACATATAATGTGACCCCAGACTACTTGACAGCAGTACTTTCTACAGCAAGTAAAAAAACACTTGATACTTTCACCCACATTACTTCCCCAAATAAAACCTTTTCACAACTATTAAAGTACTGAGACAGTGAGAACTCTTTCAATGTTACTGTCACTAGTTAACAGAACTACAGCTATACATTAGACTTAATGGTCAAGTGCTAGGCTACTAATGAAGAATGCATCCCCGTGAGAATTTCTTTCACATGTCATATAAAAGGGAAGGAAATTATAAGCTACAGTATATCATAAGCAATTCTCATTACAGACAGACCTACTGTTCTTTACAAGAAAGAAAATTCTGCAAAACATACAAAACAGAAGAAAGGACTGTTTTAAATTCAGGTCTTTCGTCTGCATATAAAGTTATATTCAGAATATTTTTTTAAAAGACCTTATAAATAAAATGTAATATCCAGAATCCAACAACTGCTTTAAAAACCCAAAATAAATTAGCAGAATACAATTTTCTTTCCACAGCTTTCAATACAGGAAACATATCTGCAATTGGATTGGCACAATTAAATCCTCAGTTTTCCACCACTTATGATTAAGATCATATGGTCACAACTCACAAAATGTGCAATTTGCTACCACCAAGCAGTCAAGCACAGCCATACACTAATTTTATCAATCTTACAATACAAAGCACTTTTGTATATCCTCACAACATATGTGACAGTGAGCAAAAACATATTTTTCTTGAAGTGTCCTCTATACTATGTATGATTAAAAACAGAAACTTGATCACTGACCATTACATTACTATCATTAGCCAATATTTAATGCAAGCGTGTCCAAAACATTAATCACTGTACTGCAAAATGCAAGGATTATTAAAAATCTAGTGCAAATATTTGTATTTATTCTCATTAGGGATGAAGTTAATAACATTGTAAAGTAGTTTCATTTTAAAATGCAAAGCCTTCACACTTCTGTGAGTTTAAAATCTGCTGTGAACTAGTAACTATTCTGCCAAGTATTTTTGCCTCCCTGACCACCAAAAGATAATGTATTCAGTTCACTAGCTGCTTAGCGGTTATCATTTCTTCAGAGTACCACACCAACATCAATATCTTTGCCTTTGGCTTTTAACATATTTCCTCTTCTGACAGTGAGGTGAAAATTGACCCAGAAATTATTTCATCTACCAAATCATGAAAATGAGATTGCCATGACCTGAAGGATTTTCATCAGATAGGCACATGCTTTCTTTACAAACAGAGTAACCTGAAAAAATCATTTCGGGGGATTTGCACTGTTTTACAAGTTTGTTCTATTTTAAAATGAGTGGTGACCTGATCATCATACCCGTAAATTATTCTCTCTCACTGTTGGAGCAGCTGCGAGAGGAGAATTAAAGCCGAACTTTAAAAATAATGGTTTAACTGAATCAAGAGAGGGTTACCTCAAAATATTGTTCCAAATGGTTGAAGGTTACAACCTCTATAAACATATTTGGGACATTATTTTCAATATTCTCCAAAAAAATATCTATATACCTTATAATAGGTAATTAAAAAACTACCTGTTCTTTATAGGTAATAGGTAATTAAATAATTAAATACCTTAATTGGTAGTTGTGAACAATTGTAAACAATGGCAATGTTCACAAGAATAGGGGTGTTAATTTCATTACCCTGGCTAAATTCTACTCGGCCAAGGGACTTGGGACTTACTCAATCACCCTTTCATAAAGTTCTCCTTTAGTTCAGATGATGAAGAAAATGTCCCCATGATTTGCTGTGTAGTTAGTGTAGCAGCTGGTGCACAATGGTTGCCACACTTCAGTAGCGGACAAAGTAGGTCCTCACATATGTAAAGAGATCTGGGGTCCTTCTGGATGAACTGCACGACATAAATCCTGAAAATAATTATTTTAAAATGCAAAGTACATACACTGTCATTCCCAGTCTCACTCAGACTTTCACAATGCTGTGCCACCAGCAAATATCAGGCTCACCAATATGATTTGCTAAACAGACTGCCATGCTTTCACATACTCTACACGGATTTTCTGGAATGCTAAAACAAACAAAAAAGCCACATGTGACACATGTTTTGTCTGTGTGGCTACTGGATAAGAGCTACACATGAATCCATTAAAACTGACAAATTCAGAGCAGGTATTACCTTACAGGACGGACATTCGGCATTCTGCATTCCACAGAAACTGAACCACAGACATTAAGGATGCCAGTTTTATATAGCTTAAAATGAAGTGCTATAGAAAATCATTAAATATGACAAGCTGCAAAGCTTGATAGAAAATGTGAAGAGAAGCATTTATCAAGACACATAAAAAATGCTGACTCAAAACTTCAACTGAAAAGGTTTAAAAGTGCCAGACACTGCTGTTCAGAAACCTTTCACAGCCAGAGATTACATCATTCAAAACAAAAGTACTAACCTTTGTTTTCCATGTAAATCTCCTTAGAAACAGCTGTTAGAGCTGACTCTAGAAACAGATGCTTTACACTAAAGCCACTGTGCTCATTGTAGGTCCTTTATTTTGAATTCTGGTGGACCTTCCCACATTGTATAGCCTACACATCCTTTTGAGGATAAGACAATTAACATGTACAGGTTACAACTACACATAATGCTACGACAAAACCTACGACAAATAGTTAATACTGTGTTCTAGCTTTGCAGCACATCACTATCTCAGAAATGCACAAGCACAGATAGTAAAAAAATCAGCTCTATATAAACATTGACATGAAATATCCAGAAACTGACAAGTCATGAAACAGAATCTTTATTTCAATTTGGCAATTATGAAGTATACTCTTAGCTGTAACACTCATCTAAGGTAACCACATAAGCAGCCAAACGTAAATATGGTTAGAGTAATTCAACTTGCCTGAACTACTGTCAAGTAGTCAGCTTAGTCAATGATGGTATTTAACACAAATGTAATAAAAACCTGGAACAAAGAATCATTTACTGCATGGTAAAGCAATCTATTGTATTTAAAGTGACTCAAGGACATGGACATTCACACAGGATGCAGAATAAATCTTACAATTAAAGTAGGAAGGCATTATCTTTCATTAACCAGTGAATTCTGCTTTAACAATGTTAAATTATTAACAGCCTACTGCATTCTAACAAAATAAATTTGTAAAAATATTTGGGATTGTATTAGGGATGTATCCTTTGCATAAAAGAAGACAAAATCTCATTAATCATATGAGCTGAACACCTTAAGAACAACATTCTACCAATTTTGAATACATTTTCATGACCACAAAATGTATTACTTTGAAAAGAAAAAAAAATTAATACCACCATTTGTATTACAAAAAGATGAATCTATTGAATCAAAACTTACATTCACTGCCCTGCTGAATCTTTCTACTTTCTGTGAGCATACCCAGACTGTACAAATGTACCCTGTTGACAGCCACTAACTAACAAGTGGCTAGCACATGGAAAAATTAATATCCTGAGACAGTCATTTCCAAGGAAGTAATCCCACTTTTCCAAATATCAGGTCCGGGAAAATGTCTCAATGCAGTGCTACTCTTTAGTCAAAGATTTTGCAAAGGTCATAGCCAGAAAAAAAACGAGAACAGTAGCAGGAAAATTTATATCCAGGTGTGCAGACCCGCTTCTTTCAGATCTTTCTTGTCGCTATCTGTCTTAGCTTGAGCTTGCAGGAAAGGATCAATTAAACCCGTAGAACAAAGCAAAGTTTCAAAACTCATCTGCAGCTGAAATCCATCTGACACATTCCAAATCTCAAGTTATCGAGATCTTCTCATTCCTCAGAAAAGAATTTCCCCATTCGCTGAATTCGGAGTTCGATGATGCTTTTTCTTTTCTTTCTGGTGGAGCGTTCGAGACAGACACGAAGAGTGTTGTCCAGTCCCTCTCTGCTTCTGTGGATAGCATGTTCATTTCCTGCCTGGATGAGCTCACAGCCACAGCCGCCCCAGTAACACATGGCTCAGTCATAGTCCTGCCAGAAGTTCCGCATTCCAGACCCCCCCCCCCCACACTGTGCTGACTACCATCCCACAGCTGGCTTCCATCAATTTGCAGAAAAATCAGCTCCCAGACCTCAGGGTTAAACTTTCCTAGGTTTCTCTCCTACTATAGATTATACTATTATGAACATGGCAAAATCTGTGTAGCGGACAGATTAGATATGTTTTTACCCTGTCATGGTTTCCCTGCTAACATCCCTGCTGTATAAATAACTTAAATAGGTTCTGGAAAGATCATCTGTGAAGAGCTTCAGAGACAAATGGTGTCAACAGGCTTATACTGTATAGCTGAGGGGCTTGCCTCCATATTGAAAAAGTGCTTGTATTTCTTGAATGTAAAATAAAAAACAGAAGGTACTATAGATATCAGGGGATTTTAGAGACTATGTTTAAAAGAGATCTGGGCAAGGAGGGGGTCAGAAGAAAGCAGCTAAAGAAAACAGTCATTAATAAGCAGCCAAACTTCACTCCTGATTCAAAAACACTCCTGGACATCTGCTCCCAATAAAGAAACACCCCTCATTACTAAGCATTTGACTTTTGAGTCCCACATGAACTGAGGTACATTATGTACCATTACAAAAAGAGTTAAAAAATGACAGAGTTACAAACTAAAATGTAAACATGGATAATAGGCTTCTTTTGTCAATCCCATTTTTCCTAGGAGAAAGCAAGCAGATTTGAATCCAAGATTTATCGCACATCTTTCAAGAATGTTCTTTGATGCCCTGTATTTCACATTAGCTAATTGCTTAAGCAAACAAGGCTATAACTGATAGCTACTGTCAGGCAGTAAACATCTTTCACTTGCCTCTTCAGTTTGTCTGGGTCCCTCTCAACTGAGAGATTCAACCTCGAGTTAACTGGATTCTTCACTGAACTAGTAACGTGCTTACCTTCAAAGTTATACATAAAACTATGCTTTAAAGTCACCCAAAATCCCCAAGCATTTTCACAAGTCAAAAGAATATGTAAACATCAAAACTGTTAATAATTGTAAAGCACATATATACAGTATTTTGAACAAGAACCAGAGGATACAGAGGCCCTAGGAAAACGGTATTGCAAAACAGCGATCTCTCATCTTAATGTTTTAGATTTTACAGGCTTTTACCAGCATCATTGGCAAGGACTCATAAATACTTAACCAGAAAGAAGAAGCCACTGCATCACATGACTTTGCTAATAAACCGCTGGCTCAACTGGAATCTGGCCCTAACGTGGAGCAATTAAAGATGTAATTGAAGGTTTTAAACAAAGATTTAATATACATCTACAAGCCCCCTTGCGTGATGTGAAGGCAGCTGAGAGCATGAAAGGTGTTTACTAGCTCTTCCATAGGTTTACTTACTAGAACAGGACGTGGTTAGTTTCGTGTTTCTCATAACGAGCTGTGGTGCACATTGACCTGAAATTCAAAAACAACAGGTTATCAAAGTTTCTTAGAGCTGGCCTACACCAGCCAAGCAGCAGCCTACACATCGCTTAAAACACAAATCTAATCAAATTCCATGCTGCAAGCCAAATCAAAGATACATGAAAAAATGCTTCTAGAATGATTACTCATCAGTGCAATCTGTGAGGGAGGTGTGCAAGAACGCTTTCTCTTTTCATCTGAAGTGCTGCCAAATACTTAGCTGAAATTAGGTCAGAAAACTGTGTAGAATGTAGCCCCATTTTAAAGGGCTGCTGCATTATGATTTTCAGATATTTAACTGAAACTTAAGTTGTCCCATGTGTCCACCCCCGCAGCCACCAACTTGGTCTTCTCACAAGAGTTCTAATAAAACTACTGTGGTGGTACAACTTTAAACATTTTCTCCCTGCCAGGAGACCTCAGCTATAAATTGTGACAGGAGTGGGAATCTCTCCTCCTCTGTAACAAAGAGCTGAAGTTAAGTTTACAGGGCATGTAGCAAACCTATAGCAAGGAGCAAAGAGCTCTGAAACAGATCGAATGAGGCCAACTCAAAGGAGTCCAAAAATATTGGACAAGATTTAACCAAAAATAAAAAAACTGAGGGGTGTTTATGATGTGTAGGAATTTTCTAAGAAAAATTTAAAGTGCAACTTGTTCAAAATAGATGATCCCGCTCTCGTTAAATACAACAGAAGAGGGCTAATTACATCAAGTTCAGCAGTTTGCAGATTGATGGGAGCTTTGGGGTGCATTCAACCCCAAGGCAATTATTTACACTATAATATTCCATAACATTGCTCTAGCAGATCTAACAGGTCATATTCAGCAAGCTGTGGTACAGCACAGATCTTTTATTTGAATTTTACGCAGTATCTTCAATTCTCCTGAAAACAGCATTCCATTCCTAATTCACATGTTGCAAAACTACAATTGTTTTGTGCAAGAAAGCACATCTCCATTTATTGGAAGAGCACAGATCTGTACCATCTGAAGAATACACAGAAATATAGTATCTAATACTAGAGGTGTCTTTCGTGACAGGGATGTTAGTGCAGTACTAAGTTTAAGTATTAAGCGGTTTTATTTAAAACATAATATTCATCATAACTGGATACTATTGTATTCTGTAACTGAAATTACACATAAATGTTTAATTACCTAAATCTCCCACTGATGACTAATATGACTCTGTGCGTTATAATTTCAGGTTTTGTATTAAATCATATCAAGTTGAAGCACACCTGGTTAATACCTTTTAGAAGAAATAATTTTAATTATCTTTGAATTAAAAGTGCCCACAGATAACAGATATGCACATATTTGTGCTATTTAAAACAACCTGCTTTGAATTTGAACATCAGGCAAAAGAGAACTTAAAGGAAAATCTGCTGAAATATTTACATTTTGCATACCCCTATGTGATACAAAACACTAAGACATTAAGAAACATGAGATACAAAACACATTACACTAAGAAAAGACACATTTACAACTATAAAGATGAGGGTTTTTTAATAAACAGTGTGTCTGGAAAGAACTTTTACTGACAACTAATTTTGGCAGTTAAAAAATCATTTGATGGAATAAGAGGAGGTCAACTGGATTCACTGTCCCTGGTCATGAATGCATGAAGGGATGAAAGGACAATCTCCTTCTGTTCTGAGTGTAGATGTGATATAAGGGTATTCTCAGTGCTGCTGAAAGGTTACAGAACACATAGGTATTGGAATTGATCAAATGTAGAATACATTTATTCTTGTATAGTTTTGATCACAGAGAACTTGAGCAATGCATGATAATTTTATCTTACCTTATCTGATGTTCCCTGAGATGTGATAAAATATCCATGTTATAAAGATGGCAGTAAATGGTGTTTAAATCCTAAAAAGACAAGATAAAACACTTTCAGCTTATGTACAATTAATGGCGACAAGCATTTAAATTCAGGCTGGTTTAATGAAGCATTGTTTCAAAAGCAATTCAGATCAGTGACTGTTGTAAAATCCTGTGATTGATACAGACCATGAGCAAAGTACCCAGAACAGCTCACCTAAGGACATGCTTTTGAATTACAAGATAAACTGTAATATTCACAAAGAATTATAATGGTTTTAAATGATGCCATGAACTGCAATACAATACATTCATAAAATAATGTAAAAAAGTAATTGTTCATCCAAAATCCAAAAGCTTATACTGTATTTTGGGGTACTGTACAATACAAGCATACTCACTGCTATGTGAAGCACGTTTTCTGTTAAGTTGACATTACAGCAAAATCTTTTTGATTTTGCAAGACTGTCTTTAATATAGCATACTATTAAACACAGCTGTTCAAACACTATGAACAGATAGCTGGAAGAATGCATGTGAAAATATATATATGGCCACATGGCAGGGCAAAACACTGAACCTATTCAGCCCCTTGAGAAGTTATGGTAAACAGGTGGGCAGCTTGTGCTCAGTCTACAACCCTCAGAAGACGCACATCACTAAAATGCTTTGCGTCGCCAGCGACTTAACTGTGTTTTTCAGCTAGCTGAAGGACACTATGTGTTCCAAGACACAGCTGGCTTCCACGCGTCAAGATTGGAAAAAAAAATGTGTTCTACCACTTCTAAACAGCATATAGCAGTTAATCACCAGTCACTTTTTCGACTTGGTAAGCACAAACAAAGAATGTAATTCTGTGGAGACATGAAATGAAACCCCAATTATATCCAATTTAGCATTAATGGGACTTCCTTTTTCAGCATCATCTAAATGTGGTCAGATAAGAGAAAGAAACATGAATAAAGATCAAGATTAGATGACTTACTTACACAGTGCTACCAGACTGCTGTACACACAACGTGATGAATCCTTTTTGTTTAGAGTGAAAACAACACTGCTGTGGCCATGTATGTGGCTAGTTGTGTTCCTACCTAAACTGCAGATTATCCAGAACAATAACAACAGTAGTATTATGATTTCTCATTATTTTATATAATGAACAATCTTCGAGTGGCTCATACAAAAAGAGCAAAACTGTAAACAAGTTATTTTAGGAAAACGTCTGTATTACATTAGTATTTGAAAAGTACTTAATTTTAAAACCATGTGGTGAAAGCCCTGTGAAATTACTTCAATCAACTGATCAAGAAAAACTATGTAATCTGACATATTAGGCACCTGCTAAGTATGTCTGGCACTGTATTAAATACAAACTCCATTGACTTGCAGTTCTCTGGACTTCTTGGGATTTTGGCTAAACACTTCTGTCTTCTAAAATGAACCAAATAATATCTAAGCAGAAAAGCATTAGCATGGTGATAAGACACTATCCATATACTGTAGATCACATCCAACATGGTCAGATGTATACTGTATATAAAGATATAAGATACACTAACACTTTCTGTTGTACATTATCAACACTCCGCAGGGACTGTGGGAAATGCTTACAAACCCAGGAACTACAGTAGAATAAAAAGATGTTTTGTGAGATAGTGGTAAGATAAGGGCATAAACAAGAAGTGACTGTAATGGGACTCAGGAGACGGAGACAGCATGCTCCTCAGGAAAACTCCCTAACAGAGGAATCAAAGGGGATGTACTATACTGTATAAAAGAGTATACTGTATAAAAGTTACTGTCCAAATGAATAGATTAAAAGCTACATCAATCCGGTATTAACCTGCATTTTTTTCTGCACATTAAGAAAAGCATGTGGTCAGAAGTAAGAGAATACATTGAGAATGAACTCCTAATTTGTTTTGATCTTGAAAATCTCTGTCACCACCAACCAGCTCAAAACAAAGGCAACAGTGACAGACTTGTTTCATTGAGCATGCCTGCAAAGCATTCCTGAATATATTACTATAAACTTTGTGCTTTTCCAAGAGCTGTGCACCAAGGCGCAGAGAAATGATTCACAAGTGTTTCATATGAATATTCTGATGTGTTATCATGTATTTCACATGAGTAATATACATTTTTGAGGGCTTTAAAATTTCTTGAATATAATAATCATAATAAAAATAATAATAATTGCTTACACTTACAGTATATAGTGCTTTTCTGGAAAATCCATTCAAAGCGCTTTACAAATAATAGGGACTCCCCTCCACCACCACCAATGTGCAGCTTCCACCTGGATTATGCGACGGCAGCCATAGTGCACCAGAATGCTCACCACACACCAGCTATCAGTGGGGAGGAAAGCAGAGTAATGAAGCCAATTCATAGATGGGGATTATTAGAGAGGACCACAGAGAGTCAGGACCTTGGTTTTACATCTCATCTGAAGGACGGTGCCTGTTTACAGTGAGCGCCCCCTGCTGGTCCCCACTAACACCTCTTCCAGCAACAACCTTAGTTTTTCCCAGGAGGTCTCTCATCCAGGTAGTGACCAGGTTCACACCTGCTTAGCTTCAGTGGGTTGCCAGGTGTGAGTTGAAGAGTGATATGGCTGCTGGCTATATACTGTGTGTGTGTATATATTTATACACTGCACTTTTCATCCAGTCCCAAAATCATTGATATGTAGAAGCAGACCACTTTATCCGCTACAGAAAATCAGCACCCTCCTGGGTGACTCTTGCAGTCATTATATGCCAGCAGTTCCACAGCACAGCAGATCAGACTGAAGTAAGAAACTGCTGCACCAGTTAAATTAAAGGGGAACTTCAACATTATCCTTATATTTCGGGGTTAGAAAGAACCAGCATTGATGAGTGCATTTCAAACAACAATAAAAGTGAGATGTACACAGTAACTTGTAAAACCTCCAATTTATATGACAATTTCCAGGTATGCACAGGGCCATATAGCTGTCAAAGTTTGTGATTTAGAATGAGGCAACAAAACATACATTGAGGTGAAGCAGGCTTGTGAATACATCTCTTTTAAGCCAATAGGAATATTGCTCTTGACTTTGGACAGTTTTGTTGAACATTCCTGGGGTGAAATGTCTCTTGCGCTTATTTGTTTGTACTTCGCAATACGTTAGTCATTACAGTAACTAGTGAGCAGGAAGGGCCTATTAACATTACAATTTGCACAAACTCTCACCAGTGGCAAGACCAGGGGTTTGTGACAACATGGTGACTATACAGTACTTTCACAATTTGAGAAGCTTTTTTTTTTACACAATTTTTCCACAAGTTCACAATTATGTGCTTAATTTAAAATTTGATTTTTTTTTCCTATACCATCAATGAATGTATTTTGTTACCAAGATTTAATACCCAGTCTAAGAAATTGGGACTGCAGTTCCCCTTTAAAGGAGAGCTTCAGCAAGGCCAGACTGTACAAGCCCAGAATGGAATTTAGCCAGGACAACTCCAATTCCCCGCCAATTTTAAAGATTAAAATTAAACCACTTTTATTTTAATGACTTCCCGAACATTGTTAGCCAGTATTGGAAAACTCGAAACATGTCTTTTTGCAGGAATGGAAACTGGAAAACAGTTTAAGTTTTTTTTTTCTGGCTGTTAAAATCAAAGTAGGCCTGTGCTGTAAACATTCAAAATACACAGCAACACTATAGTCCTCTATTAGAATATTAAAAAATAAAACATATCTTAAATGTCATCCACTAAATTAATAACTTCCAATCTAAGCAAAATTACATATTTTCTTTCGCACTGAAAGTATTTTAATTACATCTGTAGCTTAGTTCATGTCAACAAAAGCCTGAAGCAGACCAATGCCCATGTTCAAACCTTCTGTTATATTTCCATTTTGTGAGAAAATCTCAACTCAATACAAAGACACCTTGCAGAGATAAGGCATTCCAGATTAACTAAACATGTTACATCAATATTATATGAGCCAACATGATTTAAAATCTATGCAGTCTTTATTAAAATGGCCTTTACATCTTTTCCCCTTAGCTCAGAGACTCCAAAGAATGGACCAATACGAAACATCACTAAACCAACAGTCTTCATTCTGAATTTTGTATTCTAGACATTTTATTCTAAATAAAGCCTGCTGAAGCCTATAACATACCTATAACATACCACTCTCCTGCCAAAAGCGCATCGAGTCTGTTAGACTTGATGTAGTATTTGATTAGATATTTCTAAAAAAGGAAAAATAGAGGACACACATGGAAAACACGGGAAAGAGCACTAAAAATGAGAACAGGAGGAACTTCTATACACAAAGAGTTGTAGACATATGGAACAAGTTATCCAGTCATGGTGTTTAATCTTAAACCTGGATTCCCTCATGGAAATCCTTGAATTAATCCTGAAATCCTTGGATTAATTATCTACATAAAATTCCTATTCGAACCAAATAGTCTTTCTCATTTTTAACAGTTCTTATGATCTGTAAGGGTTTAATAAAGAATACAAAACAGCCAAAAGTCATGATGAAAATTGTCTCAAATCAATTGTATGTAAAATAAATAGCAGTAATCCCACAGTATTTTTGTGTTGTGTGAAGCAACCATTAATATATCAGTGTATAAATGTATCAATTGTGATCACAGTGCAAGAAACTTGCTCACAACCCAGAGGCTGAACAGCAATCTGACAAGGATAAAATGTGGACAATGCAGGTGTTGCTGCCACCTTCTGGTACTAACTCAACAGTGTAACCACATTTGCCAAAATAATCTGAGACTCAGCTCAAAACAGTTCTTGAGACAGTTTTAAAATCTACACCACTTTAAACTTGACTGAATGCAATTCCTACATTTTTCAATTGCCTGTGTTTCTTCAACTACAGCAGCACACTTTGTTTATAACATTTGAAACTGTCCTAGTATCTAATGAAAATTTAAGATTAATCATATTTAAATATATAAACCATGATGGAGTTAGTGTCTAGATGTCTAAATATGTCAATGTATGGATAGGAAATGGGCACAATAAGTTGTGGTTTTGGAA